CTGATGGCTGGGAATCCAGACCTGATGTAAAGATTGGGAGAGGCGGGGGCGCTCTCTCGCTGAAACGAAATAGCTGGGCACCACGACAGCCCTGCGGGCCTTGGTTTGGGTCTACCAACGCGACTGTTCGGAGAACAGTTGCCTGTCAGATTCTTTCCACACAGCAACCCACATAATGACTAAATACACTAAACATAGCATTATCCTGGCTCCACTGTACTTCAGCAATTTGTAATAATCATAGCCTGCGTAGCCGGCGGGATCGTTTGCGCGAGGAAAGTTTGGCAGAGGAGCTGCGAAGACGTGCGGAGAATTGGGCCGGGGGTAGAAGCTTTGAAATTCCAAGAAGTTATTCGGCGCTCACTTCTTCTCGGCAAAGCTGCGCGAGGTGGCGGCATCGCCGCCAAAACTCTCGCACGAGCAACAATAATTCCGCCAGCTAGCACAGGCCATTATATTCATCGCACTTTGTTTGTAATTCCACAATCAGCTCCTTACCATTGCGGCCAAAAGGCAGAGTTCAGTCTGAGCTACGCGTCGTCCTGTATCAAAAAAGGAGCCAGTCTCAGTAAGAAAAGCAGTAATAATGAGTGACTATAACCAAGAGAGAAAATCGCCGGGGTGCTGCCTAGATTCAAGGCGCCACTTTAATTCGAAAAACAGAAAGCACATCTTCTCAAGACACAACGCTCTCCCGTGTAAGAGAATCCGGATTCCGGAATCGGGAAATTTTTCCTTGTGGAATACGGAATCCTGGGTTTGGAATCCAGAATACAGCACAAGGAATCCGGAATCCCACTGACAATTGGAATCTGGAATCCAATGTTCCACTTACAAATGCTGGAATTCAGTACCTGGAATCCGGAATCCATGGCGTGGAATCCAGTCCAAGACTGTGTTAGATTCCCTTACGTGGGGCGACAGCGCCGCATAAGAACAAAGAGGGAGACCTGCGACGAGGCAGAAGCAGTAAATCTGTGTGATAAAATTAAAAGACACCTACCTATACACATGCGTCGCCCGAAGCCAAATGGAATTGATGCATAAGGGTGAGGGCCATTCTTTTCCGTGTTCAACCAACGTTCAGGTTTAAATTCAAGAGGATTTGAGAAGATTTCTTCTGAATGTCCAGATAGATAATTGGAGTATCTAATCGGGGTCTAAAAAAAGGTTCACATAAAAGCTGACTTGAAGGCTAAGAAATGTCATCGCATTTGAAAAGAGCTTGGTGTTTTTAACGGCTAAATATGCCTAAATAAGGATTACCAAAAAAAAAAAAACATTCCTCTGAAGACACTAACATTTTAAAACATTTACCTAGGTAGAAAGAACAATGCAGTTCGTCTCAACTGAGGGAATTAGTTTACTATCTTTTAACAAAGTTTTGCACATTGGTTTCTAAACCTCTCCATTATTAGAAACCTCAAAGGGGCTGAGTTACGGCTGTCCAGTAGTGACTCTAGTTCATTTTGTTGCCAACTACTCGACCTTGTTCGCTGTGGGACTTCAGAAATTACTTGTGGATGACGACAAAACCACAGCTTTGAATCAAACAAATAATGCCTTCCAAGCATTATGTCAAGCCTTATCAAACGTTGCAAACAGCAAAAATGAACTTCGACAAACTGTTAGCCTGACAAGTTTTCCTGAAAAACCACAATCGCCGCAATCCGCTTTAATCTTCTTCAAGTTTGTCCATTCGTGCCTTCTTTTGTATTTGCTGTCTTATTTTTACCATCTTTTAATTCTTTGAGGGGTTATTCAAGTTTAGGTTTCACTCGACAATTTGGACGCAGTTGCCACCGTTTGAATTTTTGATAAATTTCCTGTCATAGAACCATTACTGAAGATGCACAGTTTCCGGTTTACGGGCATGGGTAAATTAAAGTCGCTTCGTCGGCTAGGCTACCGGGCATAACCACATCTGGGAAAACATGGTCTCCTAAAACCAAGTGAAACATGTTCCTCTACCAGGAACAGCAAGAAGAAACAGTGTATCTTGAGGCTCCTATAAGCTGTTCGACGCTCCAATACTCAACTCTCCGTTATTTGCAAGTGCCACATTATCTCTCCTTAGTGTCGTATATCATTCTCATTCACGGTTTTGTTCTTAAAACCTTTTACCTTTATTGTCCCCTCTGCTAGCTATGTTTTTATTAACCCATACTTTTTATGATACTTACCCCCGCGGGAATATGGTAACCAGAGAGAACTGCATCCCTGCTGAGAACACGTGACCAAAATCCTGGATCGGGGTACAACCTGGACGATCGAAGAGACCGATAATTAAGAAGTATACAGTTTAGTATTTTATATTAAGAATTTTTGTTTAATTGGATATCAGTACAACTGTCGAAAAAAGTGCATTCCGCGACAAGCGCTCTTTTCGGTCGCGAATTCGACCATTGTAAATAGAACTGTCGGCCACAGTAACCTCACGTTGCTAAAAATCAAAAAACTGGAATGAGCTGTCCCGAGTCAACATAAATGACTGTTAAGATGAAAGGAGTATTAAGGTCCCTACTAAACGGAGTGAGATTACGTCTGCGACGCAAGCTATTAAAGTGTAAACCTATTGCATTGTGCCACAGGAAGCCCAAGCTCGAAATATGAGCATCGGCGAGTATCGGCATTGTTGCGTAACATTCGAAATATAAGGATTTGTATGGGGAAAAAACCTATCGTTTCTGTAACCTACGAAAATGAAACGATTTCAATAAAAAACAGCTTACCTTACTTAAAATATGTGTTACGTCTCTCCTGTGTGGTCCACGGGCAGATTTATGGTCGTTTTATTCTTTGTACTGTAAACGGTTTTCTCTCTATGTGTAAGGTTTATACAAATCCTTATATTTCGAATGTTACGCAACAATGCCGATGCTCGCCGATGCTCATATTTCGACCTTGGGCTACCTGTGATTGTGCTTTATTCGCTTCCTAAATTCCAAGTCTACATCACTCCCAGCTACCTGACGCAGGCTCTGCTGGGAGCTCCCATTGCATGCATTTCTGGACATAAGTAAATTTGGGTCCTTACCTTAGAGTTTCTCTGACACAGGCCTTTGTGTAATGCAGTTTTCCAAAGCTTTCAGTAGTGAAGTCTTCATTGGTTTTTATTAATGAGGATACTTCTTCATACACCTTTTCTTGCACCCTCGGGTTGCGTGCCAGCTCGTACAAGAGCCAAAGAGCGATGGTACCGGTCTATATGAGAAAAAATTTTAGACTGTAAAATAAATCAGCTATTAAAAAAAATATATTGACATTAAAAGTGTTTTGTAAACGAAATGATGGGAGTCTATCAAATGACCTAGCAGTCCCCATAAGTCTGTCCATGGTTTAGTAATTAGAACCGCACCCCGCGACCAGTGTCTGCGTTGTCATGGGTTTCCGATGGGGGAGGAGAGGTTTTTCTCTTCATCACACTCCCAACTCAACAAAATTTTATATGGGGAGGATACGCCCGGAGGTTTAACTCCTTACCCGGCTTTTATATACCATTTCTGGTAGAAAAGGTACCCCTTTGGTAGTATACCTTCTATTTAAAAAATAAAACCCCATCCAAATACCTAGTTTAGAACTTTGCATCCCTTTTGCTGACTACGATTAAATTGTAAAAACACAAATTTTTCTCTACTCATTTTTTCACAGCCATAAAATGCATCTGTAAGCCCTTTTGGGCCTTTTGGTACTACAGATATTCTTACCCTTTCATATACTTCAACTCTATTAAAATCCCTTACCTTTTCATATACCTCATTTAGGTTTCTGGGGAAACTGCCCACCTACCCCTCCCCTAATTCAACATTTTTCCCTAAGTGAAAAGTAAGTGTTAATGTTGACTTAGGGGAGGGGTAGGTGGGCAGTTTCCCAGAAACCTAACTTGATCCAGAGCCTCCACGTATAGACCATTATAGGGAGTACACCCCGGGGCAACGCACTATTATTTAAACTTATTTAATACTTGGTTTGGTATCCTGCCGCATTATTATCTTACCACTTCAACACCTGCTCTGAACATAATAACTGAGCTAAGAGTTGCTTCCTCCATCTGCAAATCACTTTTGGTTAAAAGATACGTCAGCAATGGAACAGCTGGAATTAAAAACAACATGCAAGATAAGTTTATCGCTCGTTTAGATTTAGCAACAAAGAAAGATATAATATGTAGGCAAAAGAAAAAAGAAAATTGCTTTGCTACTCCAGGTATATCCAGCAAGATCGACTCGGAAAAGAGCAGTAATATGAAAGAATTTTCTAACATAACTAATGTCTGCCCCATGACACTAAAGCTTACGCATGTTACCTTTTAGTTAAACACGCTTTAATCGTTTTCATCATAAAAGCTGTTTACTGAGTTGTTGTCGACTAAAATAAGCACAAATGAAAGCATAAGTCTAAGCCCGTTACAACCCTAATTTAAAAAAGCCTGCACTGCGATTTTCTTTGAGCGATTTTCATTTTTTATAATGTGTATTAATGGGTGGCATAAAGTGACACTCATACTATTCAGCCTTTGATTGGTCAGTTTGGCATTTGCCCGTGGATGGTGCACACTGGCGATAGTTAGCGGGAGCTCAATTGAGCAGAATCATTATGGCGAAGTGTTCAATCTTTTGTATCAAATACACAGTCAAAGTCCTTGTAAGCGACCACCTCGCGTGAATTCAAAAAGTGGTTGCAACTAGAGCTGGCCGCGTTTACGAATTTTGTATGCTACCATAATATAAAGTTATTATGGGCCGGTTATAGCTATAACTAGTGTCAAAACCACGTTCTAAGCCATTTTCAGTTTGCCTACCGCTTTTATTATCTAAACCCCGTTTATTGCCCGGTGAACCGCCACGGAGGCATATAGGGTAGAATAGAGAAACATCTTCCTGAGATAAGCCACTTTAATAAGTCCATTGTTTTCTTAATCCGCTGCCCAAGATAAACTTCGTTTAAATTATGTTGTGATAAATTCTGGTGAAACATAAAGGGGCCTCTCTTTTATTACTTTGTACGAACGTACCATCAGCGCTTATATGTTGTGTATATAACCCAATCTTTGTTCAAGGAGTAAACCCTTTTATTCGAGTGTTAACTGGGTAGTCGGTTACTGGAGTATTTAAAAGCAAAGATAAAGACCATCCGGTAATTCACAAAAGTGGTCGCGGTCAATTACCCTGGGGGAAACGATCGCTTTTGAATACTTAATTATCCTCCCCTTACGGCGCTTTTCAGCGGTAATGAAACTGATAATTCAAATGAAACTTAATATGGCTAAGAATCCCGACTGGTAGAAGGTGAACCAGTCGGCTATTTCCAAGCATGGCCGAGGATTTGAAACCAGGACTACCGAACCACTACCCAGAACAAATCCAGCTTGGGGTCAGGGCGGGACTTCCAACTTGGGGCCTCCGGATTACAAGCTAAGTCCGGTGCTCTACTGAACCATTCGGCCACGCTGCCTCCACTAATTCATTCATTACAGAATGGCACAGTCCAACAGGGTTTCACGATGATGGTCGTAACTAGAGTTAGTCTCTTACGCATTTTCTTACGTGATCGCAAGGAGACTGCGTATTACTCGAAAAAATGTGTAAAAGTCGTTCAAGTTGTATAATCTATTGGAATAGTTACACTACAAAACTTCCAAATACAGGGTTTGAGATATATAAAAAGAAAATAAGTGAAAGCATATGTTTACTGATCCGTTAGTGGCTGCCTCGCAGAATTTTTCCGGCAACCTGCACAGAAAACGTGCGGGTAAGAAAAGGCAAAATTCATCAGTCATGGAAGTCATTCGCTCCGCTGAAAAGAACAAGTCGTTATCTTGCTTCATTTCAAGGAGTGCGCCATTCCTACCCCATTTTCCTATACCTATTCAGCGCATCCCAGAACTCAGCCTTCGCGAAACTAAGGACTAAAACGGCTCCAAAGCATTCATTTACCTTGATCGTCTTCCACATCATCGGCTGTTTCTTGAAGTTTCTTCGCCGTCTTGCTTACATGCTTGTAACTGGTTTTTAGAATGAAGTCCAGAACGTCACACATTGTTTTGAAGGTAGATGTCTTATAGCAGGTGTACTTTAGAAGAAACGATTCCAGTCCTCCATTTAATTTTCCCATCAACTTGAAAGAATCATTTATAGCTTTAACCATTTCGACTGCTTCGCTGTTTGGTGGATCGTCAAAGAGGCCAACTCTGCTATCAAATACTATAATACCCATAGCTTCAATAAAAGAAAAAAGAAATTTTATACAAACATGTTACAGCATTTATTCTATTAAACGCCACGGCTTTTACTGAACTTTTTGCTATTCAAGGGTGGCGTTCAAGAAGAGGTATTCAAATCACTGACAACAATTACCATAAATCATTTGTGGATATTATGTAAAGTTCCATTGTCTCGCTGTTTTTGCTGGGGTCGAATCGTAATTGTCTGCATGATGTGCATTACGGAGTTGTTCCCAGTTGTTTTCTTATAATCGTCGAATAGACGTCGCAACGGATTCGGCGCAGCGTTTTTTCGGGGACAGCTTTTACTGACAATTCTTCCTCCATGCAGTGCGTTTAATCGAGTAAATACGGTAAACAAATCCAATTGGGTTTGGACAGGCTGTAGAGACCTCGACCTACCACTGATAAATGTACTTACTTTCGGCGGCAAAGTTATGAAGAACGTCTTCGAGGTTAGGAATCTCGTTGTCAAATCCAGCATCTCCCCTTGTCTTTGCCAAATAACTAACTGCATCTCTTGTCATTCTACAAAAGCTTTGAATATTCTCTCCAACATCTTGGGGTCGGAGAAGTTTGGGTGTCATTGCTTTACGCAGTCGGGCCCACTCTTCATTATTTCTGACACAAGGAAAAAAATTACAGCTGAAATTAAAATTCGTTAACTGCTTACCTTTTATTCCTGCATGACCAGTCTAAGCTCACAACGACTTTAAGAAAGTGATATACGCGCTCGCTGGTTGTCGAAAAGAAAAACAAAAAGCAAAGTCTGTGTACAGACTACCATTGGCTAAATTTACACTAAAGACGGATAAAAGCAGGAGTTTTAACGAATTTGGCCCAAGATTCGTCTACACTTGAGCCTCTGTAAGGGTGCCCGCGTACGTCGATTTCATCGTGCGTTTTCCATCAACTCGTCGGTTTTTCAGTAACCTGAGATCAGGCTAAATTTTCGTTTCGCTTTGTACGTAACATTCCAGCGGGCAATGCGAAACGAAAAGAATTTTACCGGTAGCCGTTAGAGAGAATGTATGAGACCCGCTAAAATTTGGGCCTGATCTCAGGTTAGTTTTTCAGGGGAAATCGTCAGATATCAAGATTTTTTTGCGCGGTTACGCTACCAGCGAACTTAGACAACGACGAGGGAAACGAGAAAATAATTTTTTAAAAAACTCTGAACGTGCAGAACCCTTTTTTGGCAGGTTTCTTTGCCGTCATTGCACGACTAGAGGCGCCTGACAACTAATGTTGTCAATCTTGTTGAAATAGCCGAGATGACACTGAAGATTAGATAGTCGCTCTAATATCTAAGATCGTTGCTTCATCAATGGCGATCGTCGCAACCTCAATTTCGTGGGGAATACCCATAGTGAAGTCCCATTTACATTACAGAAAAAACCGGGTCCGGACGCATTACCAAAAAGTGGTCCGAACCGATTTTTTTCAATCGTTTACACTGGTAACAATCAGGTTAGGTTTATGATTGAAAAGTGCAATAGTACACATGCGCGAAACCACCGTAAAGCACGGCAGGCTCACATTAAGAAGATGTTACGGAACGAAGATGCGTTTACTCAGCGCTTTCGAAGAACAGCAAAAGGGGTCCGTACTCGTGTTTTTTTCGGTTTGGGGGCCATAGCCGCTTATGGCCCCAAAACCAGAAAAAAGCGAGTCCGGATCCATTCCATGAAAACATGGTAAGGAAGGTTTACGCGGCAAAAATATCTGATCTGTACCAACTTTTTTATGGGTCCGGACCCATTTTTTTCTGTAGAGTAAATGGGGCTTGAGGCTCACAATTGATTCGTCTGTCAGCATGTCTTATAGACGTGCTAACAGCTCGGAGTAGTCAATCGATAAAAATCGGTAGCAATGAAGTGATTTTTATCGATTGATAACGGAAATCGGGTGAAAATCGATAAACTAAATTGCTGCGTCAAATCGATGTTAGCGATTTTTCATGATTTTATCGATTTATAACGGAAGTCCGCCATTGTTATTTTTTGGCATGAGTTAGATAGTACGGCTGAGGAAACAAATCCACGAATATCAACTGCTCAACAAATATGAAAATGAGACGTGTGGAAACTATCACACGCACAAGTTTCAATCTAAAACTCTTCGTTTGGTACATAATAACAAAAACGGTTCGGTTTTATAATTACATTTAGTTCTCGCAGCAAGTATCACGAGAAATACAATCTTAGTAAAGATTTCCTAACCTGAATTTCAGACATCCCCTCGAGTCGAAGGCCGGGATATCTGAAATTCATTCAAAGATTTCCCTGGATAGATTTATACCCTTTCCGTTATCAATCGATACAAATCACTTAATTGCTAACGATTTTGATCGATTTCGAGTTTTATCTATTAGCTACTCCGGGATTTAACTACATCCGGATCTACACCGACTTTATTTTGAAAGGGCGGCAGGTCAAAATCGTGAAAAAGTGGGCGCCTAAGCCTAGAAACCAGAAGAAGATTTTAAACCTGGTTTTGAAGAAAAGATAAGATTTTTCAGATTTTTTTAAAAGAATTTATTAAAAAGTGATAACTGTTTGATCCTTCGACTCTCAGCTGCGACTCAATTGTCAACCAATTTACTGTTTGCATGAAATAAGTTTTCATTTTTGAATGAACAGATGAACAGTTATATCTTCGGATATAAATCGATGAAATCGGTAAAAATCAAGATTAATTGATAAACGAAACGAGTGTGTCATCGATTTCTACCGATTGATCGATACAATCAATATCAATCAAATCAGATTTTCCGATTTCTAACGATTGGCCACTCGGGGCTAACTGACAAAACATTTCTTTTGAGACGGATAATCCATCTCGTCTCTGAATTTATATCTGGACTGAAATTCAAGTTGTAGGCGGATTTGACCTAATCTTTGATTGAAGAGGGGCTGGTACTGGTTACACCAACTGCCTGGTTCAACCCTTTTCCCAGCATTCGTTGTTTTTGTTTCTGTCGGCACCTTTGTTTTCTCTCTGGAGTTGAAGAAGATAGACAAGCCAATAATATGAAATCGATGTCCATTGTTTGCATATTCAATCATACACATTGCTAGCCAACTCATTCCGCTAAAACACTCTTCTGTCTCTCCACATCAATCTCGACCGGCAAACAGGTGCTAGTATGAACGCATCCATTTTGTTTTGTATTGTTAGTTTGTTTGTTGTTTTTTTTTCTTTCTGTCCAGTCCCATTCTTCTCTCGAATCTATTCCTGACGAATATTATATTAGGGGCCGTCGACATATTTACTTTTCCCCTGCTTAACGTCAACTGGACGTTTAACGGGGAGGGGGTAAGGGAGTGGACGTTAGTGCGGGGCATTTTGGGGCAAAAGCAAACTGATGCATTTTTATCAGTTTTTCGTCATGTGCTGTAGAATGGCGCTCGCAAAAATAATTTTGGTCGAAATAATTTTACCCCAAACTTCACTTTCTTTTAAACAGATGTTTTTTGCAAAGACCAGAAAATATTGATGTTAAGCGAGGATCACGAACTGAACACGAAAGCAATAGCCCTATCACATTTGTCATACACAAGCGTTTTCAGTGTCTGTCGTCTATGGCAAGCCAAATGTAGCAATATTCAATTCGTTTAATTTTATATGTAGTTTTGTATTATGTGTTCAACTATGAGTTTAATATTCAACTTATATTCAACATTCAACGCGTTATTCAATATTCAACTTCGCATTCAACATTCAACTATTCATTTTATATTCAATTCCTTATTCACCCATTCAATTATCTATTCAACAATTTCAACCATTTATTCAACATTCAACTTTAATTTTTAAAACATTCAACTATTCATTCAACATTCAACTTTAATTCAACATTCAACTATTCATTCAACATTCAACTATTCATTCAACTCTTTTGAGCCCCCACTACTTCTGGTCAGTGACACAGATCATTGCTTGTTAAAAACATGGCGGCGGTGGCGGCTAGAATGCCAGCTACGGAAATAGAAGCTTATGAAGATGACACAAGGCTGCACTTCGATGTGGAGTCTGACTTTCCAAGGTTTCTTGACCCGGTCTTACGAAGAACTGACCAGATTTCCCAGACGAAAGTGGATGACGAAATTGTGGAGCAGCATATTGTCGTTGTCGATCAAACGGAACGTTTGCTTTGTATACCCAGGTATACCCCGAGACAGCAGTTCGAATATTAACGCCTATGACAAAGAAACCTTAGATAATCTCTCACCAGCGTTCAGTGATGTCGATCAGCCCTGCAGCAATGTTTAGCCAGAGCAACCGTGTCTCCCACCACAATATTATTGTATGGCCGGGGTATGACCCAGAGGGCCCCTTTCCTTCAGAAGAAGATAACAACGTTGTTGTCGAATCAATTTCTTTAGATAAAAGGCATTCAATAGAGTGCTATGTGTTAGATGTTGTGGACCCTCTAACACAGTCCACTCATCTGGGTATTGATCTTTATATTCATGCCCTAAACCTGGTCAGGGATAGAATGGAATGATAGTTAGATCTCCCTGGAACAGAAAATTACTACTAAGAATTCACAAGAATTGTGAAAACATGGGTAAAATTCTGAAAATTTCAAGTGTAAGATGTAATTTTGTGAAATTTGACAATCATTTTCTCAGACTCCCATGAGAAATGTTCTTTGGTAGGCTCGCTGGTGAAAGTGGAAACCCCAGATACTCTACACAAGCATTATCTTTAAGTCCTATTATATTATTAGTAGTAATTTAAACAATTGAACATGCACCTGCCTTTCTTCAGACTTGTCAAAAAATGAGTATCTTCCTAGGGGTCAAATAAAGCCCGAGCCCTACCCACATTGTTTTTTTTTAGGGGTGTGGTTGTAATTTCCCCCACAAGCATCCTGATCACTTTTACATAGGAGCCTGTCCTCCTCACGTCTGGGTAGTAATTTTCTGTTCCAGGGAGATCTAACTATGGGCGCTTTCCATTTACTCAAAATTTCCGGAATTTCCGGTTCAGCGGTAAATGGAACACGTTTCGTCAGTTCGTCCCACGGGAAAATTCCCAGAAAAAGTGGAAAATCTAAACAGGTGGTCCCGTTTTCCCGGTTGGAATTTCCGAACGGAGTGTCGTGTTCTATTTACGTTTCTCGTAGTTTGTACCAGTTCCAGGTCCACGGTCGGGCACCGCCACGTACCGGGGTTTAAGACCGAATGGAACAACTTTTTACCAATCGGAAATTCCACTTTTGCTACCACCGAAATTTCCGGGTTTTTTTCCTAAATGGAAAGCGCCCTATCATTCCATTCTATCCCTGACCAGGTCTAGGGCTTGAATACAAAGATCGATACCCAGTTGAGTGGACTGGGTTAGAGGGTCAACAGCATCCAACACATAGCACTCTATTGAATGCCTTTTATCTAAAGAAATTGATTCGACAACGACGTTGTTATCTTCTTCTGAAGGAGAGGGGCCCTCTGGGTCATACCCATACAATTGTGGTGGGAGAAACGGCTGCTCTGGCTAAACATTGCTGCAGGGCTGATCGACATCACTGAATGCTGATGAGAGATTATCTGAGGTTTCTTTGTCATAGGCGTTAATATTCGAACTGCTGTCTCGGGGTATACCTGGGTATACAAAGCAAACGTTCCGTTTGATCGACAACGACAATATGCTGCTCCACAATTTCGTCATCCACTTTCGTCTGGGAAATCTGGTCAGTTCTTCGTAAAACCGGGTCAAGAAACCTTGGAAAGTCAGACTCCACATCGAAGTGCAGCCTTGTGTCATCTTCATAAGCTTCTATTTCCGTAGCTGGCACTCTAGCCGCCACCGCCGCCATATTAGGGACTTTTAGCACCGACGGTTTTCAGGACGGCTACGGCGAACTAGATCGCGCGGGGACTGGGGATACAAGGCCCCGTCCGCGCAAAAGCCCGCGAAAATAAATATAGTTTAGCAACCAAAACAATCCCTGAGTACGGCGTGAACGAAATAGTCGTAGAGACTCGGACACAAAACTAGATGTTTAGGGAAAAATGTCCCTAAAGAAGGCTCGAGAACAGTTGCTCTATGCTGCATGCATTAGATGAAAGGTTAATTACAGAAGAGGAGTTTCTACTCCTGTATGATGTGAATAGGTCAACTAACTTAGATTTTCCTCACGAGCAGTACAAACTTTTTGATCTCGACGACATGCAAAGAATATACAGCCCGTTATCACGTCGTAGCAACTCATATGAACACGTTTAAATGCTTCTCGCCTTTTATTTTGATGCCCGACCGGAAGCTGAACACCATTATATATCAAAATTAAAGCAGCCATAGGCAAAAAAGGCATGTTTTGTCTAGTTATAAAAAAGATATATATTCGGTGACTGAAACATAACAACAGATAAAAACTTGAAAGAAAAGCCCACGTCCAAACGTTAAGAAACAATTTAGATAAACAGTATTAGCGTTATATATCAAAATGAAAACGGAAAGGACAAGCAAAATCATGTACAAAAATAAGCTCACTTGGGATGCTTTTCGACCGACATGTGTCATCCACACCTGTGAAAAAAGCGTAAATAAAGCAAAAATATCAAACCAATTCTAAAGAAAACTGGTCTAAATTTATGAAGAAAAGGAATAAGAAGTTGTTTTTCAAATGAAAACAATAAAAGTCAAGTAAAAGGTTAAAAAATACTCACCTAAAACTCCCGTAGTCGCCAGTACGTCAAACTACTCGGTTTGCCGTACTAGGGAAGGCCGCTACGGCGGCAAGAAACGGAGGGTGACACTCGCGCGCGCGAAAAAGAGTCTGACTTCATTTCCGGTTCCCGTAGCCGTCTTGAAAACCGTCGGTGCTAAAAGTCCCTATTTTTAACAAGCAATGATCCGTGTCACTGACCAGAAGTAGTGAGGGATCAAAAGAGTTGAATGAATAGTTGAATGTCGAATGAATAGTTGAATGTTGAATTAAAGTTGAATGTTGAATGAATAGTTGAATGTTTTAAAAATTAAAGTTGAATGTTGAATAAATGGTTGAAATTGTTGAATAGATAATTGAATGGGTGAATAAGGAATTGAATATAAAATGAATAGTTGAATGTTGAATGCGAAGTTGAATACTGAATAACGCGTTGAATGTTGAATATAAGTTGAATATTAAACGCATAGTTGAACACATAATACAAAACTACATATAAAATTAAACGAATTGAATATTGCTACATTTGGCTTGCCATAGTCGTCCTGTTGTGTAAACTAAATATTCTCGGAAACCTTGCATCAACCTTTGCAAATTTGGCATTTTTTTTATCTCAAAAACTTGCATGACAAAGGTGCACTTAGTTTCAATTCTCCCTCGGGAATATACACAGTCGACTCCCGGTAACTCGAACCCTCTATAACTCAAACCTCCCGCTAACTCGAAGTAATTTTTATTAACCTTCAGAACATTTTCTATATAAATTTACCCTCGATAACTCGAACTCCCAATAACTCGAACTTTTTTCTGTTTCCCCTGAAGGTTCGAATTATCGGGAGTCCACTGTATTTCGAAATATTTAAATAACAAACCGGTCTGATTGAATAATTACTCGCAAAATTAGTGGCTAAAAGAATTAGCATTTTCTGGGCGGTTGGTTTTTTTGTCTGTTTTTGGTGAAAACGAAACTGGAAAATACGCAGAATTGCACTTTTGCATGACCATGCTTCTGTCATGTTGGGATAAAATATCCTGTGGATAGAATACTTACAGCAAACCGAGGCTAGGCACCACCATAACGTTCCTGGTTCTAAGGTATTCCTTCAGTGTTAACATTACATCGGTTGATCGTTTAGGAAATTTTCCTTCGGCTTTGAACACGGCTTCAAGATCGGCGGGACTTTGGATGTAAACGTGGGTCTTTCCCATGACAGTCTCCTTAAATATCGGCCCGTACTGTTCAAACAGCTTTTTTTGAGTACAAACATGTTGAATGGATTTTGCGTTCATGATGTGTTGAATCACAGAACCGAACCACGGTAATCCGCGAGGACCTGGAATCTTACTAAACGCTCGAACATTTTTTGGTAGCTGGGCTTGTGAACCATTCCATGCAGTGCGGAATTCAGTGAACAACCAAGCAGCTACAAAGAGAACCACAGAGATGCATGCAACAGCCAATGCGTCCTCCATTTTGGTACGTGCAGTGTACGTGTGTTGCATTGAGCTGCGCTATGCATATTAAAATCCAACTAGTGGTCTATTATCAATGCTGCGTTCTAATTGGTTGAGCTACTACTAGGCTATATGTCATAGCGGCACCAGTAGCGAAAAGCGCCGGCTTTTTAATTTTGGCGATAAAAAAGATTAAAGTCTAGCTTTTAAACTAAGCTAAAAATGTTTTGTCTCGATATTTTTAACCAACTAGCTGGATTTTACGAAAACAATTATTCATCGAGCCCGAATGGCCTCTGAGTCAATAGCCCATTCGGCCTTCGTGCTCAAGGAATAATTGTTAATTATCCGTGTAACGAGCTGAAACCGGGATTAACTGGGAAATCAAGGATCGGGGATCAAGGATCAGGGATCAGAGATCGGTAAAAAAAACTTGATAATATAATAATTAATTAAATAAATAGATAGCTGAAAAAATGTAGAATATTCGTGAATCTTGGTGATGTGGGCCGCAGACTGTGGATCCTCGATCCACGATCCCCGATTCCCGATTCCCGATTCCCGATTCCCGATTCCCGATTCCCGATTCCCGATTCTCGTTTCCTAGTAAACCTGAAACCCGACTGCCTTTTGTTCAGGCATGTCTGAAACTTATGTAAAATCATTCACTGGTATATAGCTGATTCAATAAAGGTTCCTTGTTTGGTGGTCACTCAAGTAAATCATTGCGTTGTGCCATATACCCAAATGCCCAACGCCCAATTACCAATGACCAAATACTAAAGCAACCTTTCTTTGATTTAGCTGTATTAAAAAAGTCTAAAACGTCTCAATTGTTTTTTTTTTTTCGTTATCATTTAAATATTTGTTGCTGCCAAATTTTAATATTTGTTCGACTCTTTCTTCAGTACGTACTATTTATTTTTGATTTCACATCTATCACAACAGTCACAAAAAAATAAAGTCACGCGTAGCCTACGTGTAGCAGCAGGGGGAGGGTGCGGCTACATGTAGGCTACGCGTGACTTTATTGTTTTGTGACTGTTGTGATAGATGTGAAATCAAAAATATATAGTACGTACTGAAGAAAGAGTCGAACAAATATTAAAATTTGCACGCTATCCCCTCCGGGTCGATCTTTTCTGCACAGAATAGACTGCGAGCAGTCTCTTATTTTTCTTTGCAAAGTTACTGCACGCAAAACCCAAGCAGATGGAAAGAACCTAAATAATGTTTTTTTAACGATTTAATTTGAGGTAAAAATGACGGTAACACTTGTGCTGTGTCTGTCCTTTAATAAAGACTGACGTCTTTAAGAATTCTTTTTTTGTTCGGATATGTCGCCTGTGGAATGAATTACGTGCTTAGTACAAGAGAGTCAAATACCTTGTCAATCTTTCGAAAGAATTTGATGGCCTTTTATTATGATAATTTTAAGGTAAAGTTTCCCTAATTTTACATTGTACTTTACTCAATCATTTGTCCTTTTAAGTTAATTTTTTATTTTTTATCTCATGTCTTCTGTAATCTTTTAATAACACTTTTCAAAATAACGTTTTAGATAATTTTATTACTTAATTAATTCTCTAGATCTATTTATGATGTATTGTAATAATACCGGTAGATGGCTTATTTTTAAGGAGTCTTGTACTCTGTTTTAAGCCTGCCTCAGATTGAGCTATTGATTGATTTAATTGTCATAGTAATTGTAAATCTGCAACTTGATTAAATATCTGTTGGCTAAGTGTTCGCTTCTTGAGCCATTGCGCGAATTTTTAACACAGGGGACCCACACAAACTGTGTGACCGTTGGTATGTTTGAATTGAGAGGAAATGTATGTCGAATCCCGGCGGCCGATGTCGGATGACCGAAAATTTCGTAATATACCACAGGTGGCCGAAACTCATATTCTTGAGAGGAAAGGTAGCCTCCCGCGCAGAAATTCTTAGGGCTTCGTCAAGAGTTCCTGCCCTATAATGGGCGATTCGCTGGAGGCACAGTATATAGGACTGGCATGGATGGCATATTTTCATTCCATCCATTTCCCACATTTGCCCAAATTGATATCCAATAGTATTTCTGAAGCTTGTCCATTCTTGCATCATTCAGCTTGCCCCTCCTTCCCAGGCCTCGGTTTTCACGCTTCAAATTACGAAGTGCTGAACTCAACTCTTTTCTGCGCATGACTGGTACACTCTTTCTTTTCAACTGACACACCCTCCACCCTGCAGAAGCTTTGGCTGTCTCCTTCTCCATAATACTCTGTATCTCGCAACTCTCTTGCCCCATTGTCCCCACGAAGTCTGGGAAAGGGCGGGCGAGTCTCTTTTAGTGACGTCACAGCTCACAGTAGAGTCCATGACTGACCGAGCCGAGAACGCCTAGGGACTAGGCTGATACAGATCCAAAGATCAACACCTTCAGTTTCCATGGCAAGAGCAGAACCCTTACCACTTGCTTTGCATGTGTTGTGACATGCTCTCCATCTCTAGTATTCCTCGCTGTTTTTGTCAGTAAATGTTGATGCAGCTTACATTGCTTTGCTATCATGTCTGGCTAAGGGCGTATTCGATTGAAAGTATTCCAGAATAAGAATAAATGGAATTAACTCTAGAAATCAATTGTTTTGTGAAATTTGCCCCCATTTTCTCCAGCTTTACCATGCAACACATCCGAGCTGACGCAACCTCGTTCACAGGGCTTCTCAGGCGCAGTCTAGAGCCTGTACTACTGACGTCATTTTACCGGATATTTGGAAATGTCTACCAAATTTGTTCAACGCTAGCTGATTATGAAGATTTATCAAGGGGACTTGAGCCAATCAGAAACAGTGAAATATTTTGAATTAATAAAAAATTAATGTAAATATTCGTCGTAGTATGTTAAGATATGTAAATTTTTTTGATAAATCCTATAAATCCTTTAATATTAAACATTCGAACAATCACATATTTTGTGTCGACACCATGTAATTAACCTGGGCAGAATTTCGGGAGTTTGGGCTCGCGGCTCCCCCTTGATTAGTCCTCTTCGCCGCGACTTTCCTTTCACAGCGCAGCAAAGCACCATAGGTAAGAGAAAATGGCTACTTAAACGATAAGGCGTATTTTTATGTCGATACAGGAAATTTTAGGCGTCCCAATCAGCGCACGTACGACCAGTCTACCGTTAACGCCTCCCATGTAAGCCACTGTGAGATAACCTCGTGCAAGAGAGATTATTCTCTCTTTTGCCTCGTGCCATTTTTGGCGGGAAATCATAATGAACCTGAGACCTCGTTTGAACAGCTCTCATACATTTTCCCCTTAGTGGTAGCGCTTCGTTTCGCTGCATTCAATAAATGAGAGGACAAAAAGAGCGCTTGAGTTCAGGTTCATGGATAACCTGCATTTTCGGGAGGGAATCGCACACAGACTACGTTTTTTGAAGAAAGTTGATAAAACTAAATGCCAAAAAAAGCAAATTTATGGGCTTTTCCGGTCCCCAATATTAACAGTTATCAGCAAAACCACAGAGCTCCGCTTTAGACTTGGAAAATTCATTTGTGTTAACCGCTAGCTGCGCAGCTTAGGTTCAAAATGAGACTGGAAACTGTTTGACAACTAGAGTAATTAATTAAGAAATGGTCGTCAGGAGGGAAAAGGTTTGCGTTTCTTATTGTTTAGATAACCTATTTTATATGTTTAACTTCCTCTTCGGGGCTTCTTCCGCTTGACGACCATTTCTTAATTACTCTAGTTGTCAGAGGGGTTTTTTAAACTATGGAAGTGTTTTATTTTCATCCAAGAGAGAATGATTCTCTCTTGTTTCATCTTAGATATTTTCATAACGGATCCTTCGAGCCCAGGTTTTATGGATGTAAAGAAAAATATTTAACAATTATTCCTCGAGCCCGAATGGGCTCTGATTCAATAGTCCATGAGGCCGAAGGCCGAATGGGCTATTGACCGAGAGGCCATGAGGGCGAGAGGAATAATTGTTTTAGTAAAATCCAACAAGTTGGTCAAACACATCGAGAATAAAAAAAATTGAAGCTGCTTAAAGCTAGACTTTAATCCTTTTTTGCCGCCAAAAAGCCAGCGCTTTTCGCTACTAGTGGGCTTTAACATATAGCCTAGTAGTAGCTCAACCAATCAGAACGCAGCATTGATAATAGACCACTAGTTGATTTTACTAAAAGCATTTATTGCGATAACAGACGCCTTGTCAGAAAACTGAAAAATGCTTTTGCTCCGTAGTGGTTACTGCTTAGAAAAAGTTTCCCATTTCTTCCATGGGGATTCGAAGCAATGACGTTGTTGTCGCTTTGGTAGCAGACAAGTCGGAGCTAGTGACTGTATAATACCGTAAACTGTCGTCCTATACCCCCTTTCCCAATTGTGGGCCCTTTAAAGCCTTAATAATAATAATAATAATAACAATAATAATAATAACAACAACAACAATAATAAAAGCTTTATTTATACTGGAGATATCTATCAGCATTATACAACGCTGGTCTTAACAAGATGTCCAGTAAATAAAATTTATAATAATATTATTCTAAATTACATTTCAAATACGCTAAATGAACTGCTAAGATAAGACTATTATAAATCGTTAATTTAAGTACTAAAAACTAATTTAAAATATCAAGAACAACTAAAAACTGTTAAGAACACAAAAAAATCCACCAAGTTGAGGTTGAGGTTAAGCCTTATTAAAAACTAGTATATGCAAAACGAATATTTATTAGCACAGCTGTTATTTTTTCTTTTCCGGTTATAAACCCAGTGGGATATAATTATATATTATAGGCCCCTCAGTTGATAAGTCCCCCTAAAACCCCATACAAAGATGTATCCCAGTATCAACGCTTCTTTGTGACACACATACTAAAAAGAAAACATCAAAATTTTAATGCGACCGAACTGACTTAGATATTATCAAAATTAAAATCCCTTGAGACCCCGACGTCTAGCAACGGCAACCTCGTCCCCAGAGGCTTCTCGGTTTTATTGGAAAAAGGGAAGACCTACGTAGCCTACGTGGCTCGTTTCGTGGCAGGAGCCGATAGTTTTTTTCTGCTATGCAGGCTAGAAAAGACCCTGAAAACGAGGTCGCAAGGGACGGTTGTGTTCGCAGGTTACGCAGCGTCAATTACTCTCGGTCTAGGAACTTGATTCTCATTGGTCGATCAGGAATCAGCACGAATTCACTTGTTATTTCAACTGGCTTCTCGTGGAACTCCAACACAAAGCGCTGGACGATCTGAAAGTTAGAATCGAGGGATATTTAAGTTACTTATGAACTGAAACAGTTGGGAGAACCGGGGGGGGGCTCTTTGGTTGAAACGAAATAGCTGGGAGCCACGGCCCTGCGGGCCTTGGTTTGGGTCTGCCAATGGGACTGTTCGGAGATCAGTTGCATGTCAGATTCTTTCCACACAGCAACCCACATAAATACTAAATACCCTAAACGTAGCATTATGCTGGCTAAACTGTACTTCCATAATCATAGCCTGCGTAGCCGACGGAATCGTTTGCGCGAGGAAATTTTTAGAGTAGAGGAGCTGCGAAGACGTGCTGGGAATTGAGCCGGGGGAGACGCTTTGAAATCCCAAGCAGTTATTCCGCAGTTATTCGGCGCTCGCTTCTCTCGGCAAAGCTGTGCAAGAGTGGCGGCATTGCCGCCAAAACTTTCGCACGAGCAACAATAATTCCGCAAGGTACACAGGCTACAACAGTCATCGCAATTTGTTTACAATTCCACAATCAGCTCCTTACCATTGCGGCCAAAAGGCAGAGTTCAGCCTGAGCTACGCGTCGTCCTATATAGAAAAAGGGGTAAGTCGGTAAGAAAAGCAGTAATAATGAGTGACTATAAACAAGAGACAAAATCCTGTGCTGCCTAGATTCCAGGCGCCACTTTAATGCGAATAATAGAAAGCACAGTTTCTCGAGACACAACGCTTCCCCGTGTAAGGGAATCCGGATTCCAGAATCGGCAAAATTTTGCTTGAGGAATTCGGAATCGGAAAAAATTTTTGCTTGTGGAATGCGGGATTCTGGGTTTTACAATCCAGAATGCAGCTCAAGGAATCCAGAATCCTAGTTCCACTGACAAAGACGGGAATCCAGTACCTGGAATCCGGAATCCATGGTGTGGAATCCAGTCCAAGACTACATTGGATTCCCTTACGTGGGGCGACAACTCGCGCCGCATATGGAGCAAAGAGGGAGACCTGCGACGAAGCAAAAGCAGTAAATCTGTGTGATAAAAAGTCACCTACCTATACACATGCGTCGCCCGAAGCCAAATGGAATTGATGCATAAGGGTGAGGGCCATTCTCTTCCGTGTTCAACCAACGTTCAGGTTTAAATTCATGAGGATTTGAGAAAATTTCTTCTGAATGTCCAGACAGATAATTGGAGTACCTAATCGGGGTCTAAAACAAGTTTCACATCAAAGCTGAATAGAAAGCTAAGAAAAGTCGCATTTGAAAAGAACTTGGGGTTTTTTAACTGCTAAATATGCCTAATTAAATAATTAAGGACTACCAAAAAAACACATTTCTCTGAAGACACTAACATTTTAAAACCGCTTTTGCCTAGATAGAAAGAAAAATGTAGTTCGTCTTAAACTGAGCGAATTAGTGTACTGTCTTTTGACAAAGTTTTCCACATTCGTTTCTAAACTTCTCCATTATTAGATACCTCAAAGGGGCTGAGTTACAGCTGTCTAGTTCATTTTGTTGCCAATTACTCGTTCTTGTTCACTGCGGGACTTGAAAAATTACTTGTGGATGACAAAACCACAGCTTTGAATCAAACAAATAATGCCTTCGAAGCATTATATTAAACCTTATCAAATGTTGAAAAGAGCAAAAATGAACTTTCACAAACTGTTAGGCTGACAAGTTTTAAAAAACCACAATTGCCGCAGTCTGTTTTAATCTTCTTCAAGTTTGTTCATTCGTGTCTACTCGGCTTTTGTATTTGCTGTCTTATTTTAACCTTCTTTAAATGTTTTGAGGGGTTATTCAAGTTTAGGTTTCACTCGGCAATTTGGACGCAGTTGCCACCGTTTGTGGAATTCTTGATAAATTTCATGTCACAGATCCATTAAGATGCACGGTTTACGGTTTAAGGTTTACGGGTACAGGTAAATTAGAGTCGCCTCTTCGGCTAGGCTGCCTGGCATATCCACAGCTGGCAAAACAAGGTCTCCTAAAACCAAGTAAAACATTTTCCTCTACCAGCAACGGCAAGAAGAAACAGTGTATCTTGAGGCTCCTATAAGCTGTTCGACGCCCCAACACTCAAATCTCCGTTATTTGCAAGTGCCACATTATCTCTTACTTAGTTTCATTCACGGTTTTGTTCTTGAAACCTTTTACCTTTTTTGCCCCTCTCCTAACTATGTTTTCATTAACCCTTATTTTTTGTGATACTTACCCCCGCGGGAATATGGTAACCAGCGAGAACTGCATCCCTGCTGAGAACACGTGACCAAAATCCTGGATCAGGGTATAACCTGCACGATCGAAGAGACCGATAAATATGAAGTATACAGTTTAGTATTTTATATTAAGAATTTTTGTCGGTGTTTAATTGGATATCAGTACAATTGTCAAAAGCGTGCTTTCCGCGACAATCGCTTTTTTCAGTCGCGAATTCAGCCATTGTAAATAAAACTGTCGGCCACAGTGACCTCACGTTGCTAAAAATCATAGTGAGTGACCTATTCTGAGTCAACGCAAATGACTGTTAAGATGAAAGGAGTATTCAGTTTCTATTATTAAACAACTAAAATGTTAGAGTTTTAAAATGCAAAACATAAAGACATGTTTATTTAAGTAATTTTCCTGTTAAAAAGCCAATGTCAGTTTGCCAATCAGGTTCAAGGGAAATTCGAAACGCATTTCGGATGGGTCCATCAGAGGCCTAGAATAGGGGTATCGTCGTTGCTTCGTAGACGTTACTAGGGACCTTAAGATCTGAGGACGGCGACGGCAGCGAAAATATCACGTTCATTCGATCTTCATGGCCATTGTTTAAACTCACTTACTTTGTCCAATGTAGGCAAACTCTCCTGGAGTTGAATTCCTAAAAACCATATCCAAGCTCAGAAAGAGAAAGAAAATTTCATAGCGGCTTGTTTACGTCCTCCACAAAACGTTAAATAAGGTATTTTTCACGTCGTAGTCGTGTAGTGACGGCAACGAAATGTACAAAAAGTGTGCTGCACTTGCAAAAATGTTTTTTTGCTCATCTTAACCCTGCTTTTTTGACGTTCCCGTTGCCGTTGCAGTCATCGAATTTTAAGATCCCTAGCAACCTGGGTGAGATCACGCCTGCTACGCAAGCAAAAAGTTTAAACCTGTTGCATTGTGCCACAGGTAGTCCAAGCTCGAAATATGAGCATTGGCATTGTTGCGTAACATTCGAAATATTAGGATTTGTATGGGAAAAAACTATCGTTTCTGTAACCTACGAAAATGAACTGATTTCAATAAAAAAAAAAAAAACAGCTCACCTTACATAAAATGTGTGTTACAACTCTCCTGTGTGGTCCATGGGCCGATAAATGGTCGTTTTATTGGTTGTACTGTAAACGGTTTTCTCTCTTTGTATAAGGTTTATACAAATCCTTATAATTCGAATGTTACGCAACAATGCCGATGCTCGCTGATGCTCATATTTTAAGCTTGGGCTACCTGTGATTGTGCTTTATTCGCCTCCTAACTTCCAAGTCTAATCACTCCCAGCTACATGATGCCGGCTCTGCTGGGAGCTCCGTGATTGTATCGAATTTGGGCCCTTACCTTAGAGTCTCCCTAACACAGGCCTTTGTGTAGTGCAGTTTTCCAAAGCTTTCAGCAGTGAAGTCTTCATTGGTTTTTATTAATGAGGATACTTCTTCATACACCTTTTCTTGCACCCTAGGGTTGCGTGCCAGCTCGTATAAGAGCCAAAGGGCGGTGGTAGCGGCCTATATATGAGAAAAAAATCCAGACTGTAAAAGAAATTCAGCTATCAAAAAATAATTATTGGTATTAAAAGTGGTTTGTAAACAAAAAGATGAGAATCTATCAAAAGGCCCAGCAGTCCTCATAAGTCTGTCCATGCATGGTTTAGTGATTAGAATTCGTATTTTGAACGAGCACTTGTGCTCTTAGACGATAACGTGGGTAAATAAACCAAATGTTGATATTATTATTGAGAACAACCAGTGTCTCTGTGATGGGTTTTATTCTGCTATCCATTAAAGTTCATATTGATGAAATGCTAACCTGGAATCTTCACATGAACATATTTTCCAAATTCTCTAATGGCTTTCTGTATTTAGCTAGAAAACTAATCGACATCAATTCGCGTAAAACTATTTGATATAAACTTCAAGCCCTACACTGTTGTGATGTTGATCATTGCTCAAAACATCTGCCGACAAATTACAAAGTTCAAAAAAAAAGCAGCAGTTTTCAGATCACGTGGGGGGATTACTCTATCAGATCATCAGATGTAATAATTTCTTAACAGTGGTCAAACTTAAAAGAAAGAAGGAAAAGATACTTTGATTGACGATGTTTAAAATATTCAATAATGATTGTCCGAGTGTCTTCGGGGCAGTTTGATAGAATGAAATTCATGACTATAATTTGGGGGTTCTAACTATGATCTCCAACTACCACTACCTAAAACAGGTTTTTTCTCTGCATCATTTTCCCAACTTAACAAAGTTGGAACCAACTGTCTGGGGAAACACGTGAGATGGGGGTTTAAACTCGCCATATCTTAGGATATAATTTATCATTTTTTATCCGAAAAATACTTATTTCTTGCTGTTATATTGTATTGTTAGTTAATCACTAGTCTTAATTTTTATAAATTGTAATTATCACACGCCATGTCTGAAAACCAGCTTGCTGAGCCATTTACCGTGTTTAAATAAAGTTGATTGATTGATTGATTGATTGATTGATTGATTGATTGATTGATTGATTAAAAAATAATACCCCTTACCCATACCCTACAAGTTTAGAACTTTGTATCCCTTTTTCTGACTGCTGTATATGCACTGTCTTTAAAATATTAATAAATCACAAAAACATAAGGTTTTCCGCTCGACTCAGTTTTTCACAGCCAAAAAATGCATCTGTAAGCCCTTTTGGGCTTTTTACAGACCGAAATGGCAGATATTCCTACCCTTTCATATACTTCATTTTTCTCTCTCCCCGCCGCGTGTCGCCTTTTCTCGCGTGGGGTGATTTTCACGCCCGCTCGCGTTTCGCTCGCTCTACTATCCCTGTGGAAAAATGGGGAACTACTCGTAGTCTATCAACTAGTAAAATCCCCTACTTTTTCATATACCTGAAGCCTGAAGAGGTACCCCTTTCGGGTGGAGCTTCCACGTGTAGCCATTATAGAGAGTACACCCCGGCCCCGCACTATTATTTAAACTTTTTTAAGAATTGCTTTATTATCCTGCCGCATTGTTATCTTACCACTTCAACACCTGTTCTGAAAATAATAATTGAGCCAAGAGTTGCTTCTTCCATCTGCAAATCACTTTTGGTTAAAAGATACGTCAGCAATGGAACAGCTGGAATTAAAAACAACATGTAAGATAACTTTATCGCTCGTTTAGATTTGGCAACAAAGGAAGATATAATACATAGGCAAAAGAAAAAATCATTGCTTTGTTACTCCAGGTATATCCAGCCAGGTCGATTCTGGAAAGATCAGTAACATGAAAGAATTTTCTAACATTAAACTAATGTCTCTCTTATGAGACTAAAGCTTACACATGTCTTAAACCTTGTAAAACACGCTTTCAATCGTTTTCATCATAAAAGCTGTTTACTGATTTGCTGTCGACTAAAATTAGCACACAAAAATGAAAGCTTATAACACTGTCCAACAGGGTTTCACGATGATGTTCGTAACTAGAGTTGGTCTTTTACGAAATTTTCTTACCGGAGTGATCGCAAGGAGACTGGGTATTACTAGAAAAAATCTGTAAAAGTAGTTCAAGTTGTATAGCCTATTAGAATAGTTACACTAGAAAAATTCCAAATACAGGGTCTGAGATATATAAAAAGAAAATAAGTGAGCCCATGGTCGTGAAAGCATATGTTTACTGATCCGTTAATGGCTGCCTCGCAGAATTTTTCCGGCAACCTAAAAAAGCCCGGCATCACGCAAAATATCCTTCAGAAAATGTGCGGGTAAGAAATGGGTAAACTCATCAAGGAAGTCATTTTCATTGCTTAAAAGAAAAAGTCGTTCAGTCTTGCTTCATTTCACAGAGTGCGCCATTCCTACCCCAATTTTCCTACCTATCCAGGGCGTCCAGGAACTATAGGCCTTCGCGAAACTAAGCACTAAAACTCCAAAGCATACATTTACATTTACCTTGATCGTCTTCCACATCATCAGCTTTTTCTTGAAGTTTCTTCATCGTCTTGCTCACAAGCTTGTAACTGGTTTTTAGAACGACGTCCAGAACGTCACACATTGTTTTGAAGGTAGATGTCTTATAGCAGGTGTACTTTAGAAGAAACGATTCTAGTCCTCCATTTAATTTCCCCATCAACTTGAAAGAATCATTTATAGCTTTAACCATTTCGATTGCTTTGCTGTTTGGTGGGTCGTCAAAGAGGCCAATTCTGCTATCAAATACTGTTATACCCATAGCTTCAATAAAAGAAAAAAGAAGTTTTATACAAACATATTACCGTATTTATTCCAATAAGCGCCACGCATTTTATTGAACTTTTTACTATTCAAGGGTGGCATAGGTATTCAAATCACTGACAACAATTACCATAAATCATTTGTGGATATTATGTAAAGTTCCAATGTCTCGCTTTTTTTGCTGAGGTTGAATCGTAATTGTCTGCATGATGTGCACTACGGAGTTGTTCCGACTTTAGTCTTATAATCCTCGAATAGACGTGGCAACGGATTGGGCGCGGCGTTTTTTCGGGGACAGCGTTTACTGACAATTTTGCTTCCATACAGGGCGTTTAATCGAGTAAATACGGTAGACGAATCCAATTGGGTTTGAACAGGCTGTAGAGACCTCCACCTACCACTGATAAATGTACTTACTTTCGGCGGAAAAGTGGTAAAGAATATCTTCGAGGTTAGGAATCTCGTTGTCAAATCCAGCATCTCCCCTGGTCTTCGCCAAATAACTAACAGCATCTCGAGTCATTGTACAAAAGCTTTGAATATTCTCTCCAACATCCTGGGGTCGGAGAAGTTTGGATGCCATTGCTTTACGCACTCGGCCCCACTCTTCATTATTTCTGACATAAGAAAAAATATTCGTCAGCTGCTTAGCTTGAAATCCTTCATGACCAGTCTAAGCTCACAACGACTTTAAGAAAGTAATGTGTGCGCTCGCTGGTTGTCGAAAACAAAAACAAAAAAAGCAACGTTTGTGTACAGGCTACCATTGCTTGGTCAAATTTATACTAAAGACGGATAAAAACAGGCGTTTAAACGAATTTGGCCCAAAATTAGTCTACACTTGAGCCTCTGTAAGGGTACCTGCTGACGTCGATTTCATCTCGCGTTTTCTATCAACTCGTCGGTTTTTCCGCAGTGGAAATCGTCAGATATCAAGACTTTTTTGCGTGGTTACGCTACCAGCGAGCTCAGACACAACCACAACGACGAGGGAAACGAGAAAATAATTTTTCAGAAACTCTGAACATGCAGAACACTTTTAGTGGGAGGTTTCTTTGCCGCCATTGCACGACTACAAGAACCTGACAACTAAATGTTATTAAACTTGATTGAAATGGCAAGATGACACTGAAGATGAGATCGTCGCTCCATCAATGGCGATCGTCGCAAATTCAATTTCGTGAGGAATACCCATAGTTAGGCCCACACTTGATTCGTCTGTCAGCATGTCTTATAGACGTGCTAAAAGACAAAATATTTCTTTTGAGACGGATCGGCATCCATCTCGTCTCAGAATTTGTATCTGGACAGAAATCGAAATTGAAGGTGGTTTTGACCTAATCTTTGACTGAAGAGGGGCTGGTACTTGTTTCTTCGAAAGGTTTCTTATAAGCATTAAAAGTGTCTCAATTTCAAATCACGATCTCACGCCAACTGCCCAGTTCAACCCTTCTCCCACCATTCGATGTTTCTTTGCCAGTCTCTCGGCATCTTTATTTTCTCTCTGGAGTTGAAAAGGTAGACAAGCCAATAATTACCCTGCGAGCAGAGGCTACATTTTCGTGGTATGAGATGGCGTGCGAAAAGTAGCCTCTGCTGACAACCGTTCAAATCCGTCCAGAAATCTGGACGAATAAATTAAAAAAACGGGGTTTTTCTTGTTCTTGACCGGTTTAGAGCATTGCGTGAGTCTTGCGTCAGGGAATGAACGCTGGCCATTATTGCGCCTTCATGCATCCCTTCGCGCCAAATTCTCGCATACGAACGCGGATCAACGCAGCTCAAACGTAGCAACAGGAAAAGTTCAAAACAACTTCAAAAATCCCTGTTTATGTATTTAAAAGAGCGTCGTCAACAACTTGAATAAGCTCTGTATTTTAAGGCTGTCGGAATACCAAAACAAGCTGCTGCCGGTGCTTCTTACAGGACCGTGTAAAGATCGTTAATTTATCATTTGCCAGGAAAAGAAAATGGATACTGCGGTAATTTTTGTTGTGTCGCCTCTCAATGCAAGGCTAAATGCACTGTTTTAGGACACGGATGGGAAACGGAATGTTCAAAAGAATCATCGATAAGTTTTGTTTTAGTGGAAAAAGCAGAAAAAAAGCTTTTAGATGAACACTGATTCGCCCTCAAGTACTTCAACCTGGTTGGCTTCTTCACGGTGGAACGCTTGTCTTGTTCTGAAAAGAAACCAAAGCGGCAAAGTTTTTAAAGAATTTTCAGGTACAACTTGCACATTAATGGTCAAGGGAGTTCCGTTTTTAAATGGAAATTTAAGTATTTATAGTTGTTTCATAGATGTTTTATACGACTTGAGACGGATTTTGGCGTTGTCATTTGATGTCTTCGGCAGCTTTTACTTGCTTGAAATGATCCGGCGATCCAGTTAGTATTACGCGAATTGCTTTTAAGGATAAAATTATGGGTTTTCGAATAAAATTTTTCGATAAATAATTTTTCAGTTTTGTTTGTTTTTATAGTTCAATAAAGACAATATAGTTCAGTAAGGACAACTCAGTTCATAAATTACACTTAAGTTCACCAACTATTGCACGAGTTCAGAAACTGTCACAACTATAAATACATCTTTATTTGTGTCGCAGATGCATAAAGGCAGGAGAAGGGGATTTGAATGGATATGCGCTTACTAATGATAATGATAATATTTAACTTAAATTATTTATTAATTTTTATTATTATTGTTTTTGTTTTTTTTGTCTTTTGAGGGGGTCTCTCAGGAGCTCATGTGTAAACTTATAACATAAATAATAACAAGAACAACAGCTAAGCGACAAAGTACAGTTCAGTTCAGTTCACCAAGTTGCGAGGGGCTTGTTTATAACACTTCAACATCCTGCTTTCGTGATTTTAATGTACAGTTCAGTGCATCGTTTTACGGGGGGCTTGTTTACAGTGCTCCGTCATCCTGCTTGCGTAGTTTTGTGGTATCTGTCCAGTAGGCACGAGGTAGCCAATAACAGGTGCAGCTCAGCAAAAACCTCTGTTGCCGCAAGACTGTACGGTGGTTCATTGCAGTATACATTACGCACCCTTGTTATTGTTTTTGCATGAATAGAAACCAATTTTAGATTGCTTACACGGCTTGGTTTGGTTTTTTGGGGCGTTTATTATATTTTCTGATCTCAGACTGCTCGGTTACAAGGAGTTTATTTTCTGGGGGGTGGTGGACAGGGTGGCATTATTTGTTAACTTTTAAATTAAGGGGATTTAAGGGAACTGGGAAATAAGAACTTTAATAACATTTTTTGATTCTAATTCTAATTCAGTTGCCTCAGCAAAAAGGGACGGAATTAGAGGGATGCATTATTTGTTAATTTGTAACTTACGAGAATAAGGGGAAATAATTTATGTATTATGGACCTGTAATGACATTATTTACTGATTTTAATTAGGTTGCCTGTGCAAAAAAAGGGGGCAAGAGGGATGTCGAGGAAAACCAATGCTTCAAGATATAGGATTGCTGTTATAGGAAAGGGGATTTATCGACCAAGATTCGAGTGATAGATAAAGAGAGGAGTGATTGATTAAAGACAGGGGTAACAGAGGAAGTGGAGCACGACAGCGATGGGGCACATACCTTGCAATAAGAGGAGAACTTTTCCTTCACAAGAGATCACACGGATTTCTTATTTACTACAGCAAAAAATATACAGCACTTGGGCTTTGTATTTTTTTGAAAAATATATGTTGGTCTTACAAGATGTGCAAAATTTCTCTTAGACATAAAATATATTAATCATTACAAAAAAAAAAAAAAATTTGTTTTTTATGGTTGTAGAGAAATAAAGAAAATAATTATGCAATAAATCAACTTATACCTGACGGACTAAAAAACTTCTTTAATGTCCGGCGAAAATAATTCTTCATTTTGTCATTTCTGAAAGTACGTGGTTTGCCAAACGGTCAAGCTGCCCGGCCATAAATTGGAGCTGGGCAGCCAACCGTTTGGCTTCCATTGTGGTTTTCTTTAACTCATTTGCTTTATCTTTAAGTTTCTCTTCTTTCTCCTTTAAATCTTTTTCTTTTTTCTCTAATTCGCTTTCTCTTCCTTTTAGTTTTAATTCTTCTTCCCTCATCCGCAATTTATCCTCTTTTCCCTCTATTTCTTTTCTTTTCTCTTCCATTTCGATGGCCGCCAGGCACGATCTGATTTCTTTTTCTTCCTCTGGTGATAGCTGTAAAAATGAGTGACCTACCTATGATAATATGTCTACTATTGTTATTTTATGCTACCCAGGTGTATATGAAAAATAAGATATGATGAGCTCATCTTTAAAAACGAAAAACATCCTATCTAAACATAAGGTTGAAAGCCTTGTCTCATCAGGAGCTCAGAAGGCAATCAAGGAAACAGGTCAGGGAGGGGAAGGGTTAGCAGAATATAAAGAAACCGATGGGGAATGGGGCGGGTTTCGGAGAAAGAGCCTGTTTCCACACGTTTCGACGCCATTATGGTACCATTTGGCTGAGCCCTACGTGCCTTTTTGTCATTTAAGGATGTCTTTTGTTTGAAAAATACTGCTACATACCTCTACCCTACGTCGTTTTCCTTTTTGGCATGTTGGAGTGTCCATTGCGGTGGTCTATAGTAGTAAGGGTGAGTGAATTTTGGTTTGTTTTTTCCCTCGTAAGGTATCTACATACTAGGTGTTTTTACTTAGGATAAATGCAGAGATTGAAGGGTTAGGAATGCTTATCTTAGTTGCGAAGTTCGCTGTGTATGGAGACGACTAGTGAACTTGTGCAATCCGTCTGGGCTACGTGATTGCATAGATTACGTCAAGTTTTTTTAAAAATTTTTAAAGGGAAGTTAACTATTTCCAGTGCGCGCTGCGAGCAGAATACTGTTGAACAAAGAATTGTTCGTTTTCTTTGAAAATTTTGAGGCGTGAGCAGAAATACTTACGTGTAAACGCTATTTTGAAACTTGTGAAAAAAGATTTTTTGTGAAGGTGCTTAAAAGGAACAATGCCTAAAGAAATAGAGACTTGGTATGCAGAGGTTTTGAAATCTCGCCATATTACTTCTGCTATAAGAAGTGATTTGCAAAAGATTGATAGACTGTACAGTACGTTGGCACGGTTAAAGTTTGAATTATATAATTTAAGAAAGGAAGCAGATGTGGAGTATACAGCTGTTTGTGGTGTAGTGACATGTAAGGATGAAAAATCAAGGTTGGTTCTGGAAGAAAAAGAGAAATGCATGGGTTTTGAGTTAGCGGCCATAAAGAGAAAAGTTGATGATATAGTAGAGAGTAGGACGAAGTTAATTACCTCTGAAATAACACAGTGGAGAATCAAGAAAGGACGAGATTATTATACCAAAATAAAGGAGAAACGACATGCAAGAGGAGGCCTAGTAATTGCGGGTGAACTGAAAGACACTTTGCGTTGTTTTACTATAGGTAATACTAAAGCCGGAAAAATGTGCTCCCCGCAAACAGACAGTACTTACTACAGTTGATAGCATAAAAATACTTTCCTAAAAAAGACGATCCGTGGAAATTTTGCGGCTAAAATACTTAAAACCGGAGGAGGCGAAGCAGAAAAACAAAACAAAAGCTCGAGAAGAGTAGTTCGCAGGTAGTTTTCGCAAGTTTCATTCCCGCGAAACTCACGCAGATTTGACGAACCAGTTGCTTGCGAATCGCGTGACGAATTTTGCGCATGCACGATAGAAAATTGAACGGTTGTCGGCAGAGGCTACTTTTCGCACGCCAGCTCATACCTCGAAAATGTAGCCTCTGCTCGCAGGGTAGCCAATAATATGAAATCGACGTCCATTGTTTGCAAATTCAACCCTACACATTGCTAACCAAACTCATTCCGCTGAAATTCTCCTCAGTCTCTCCACATCAACCTCGATCCATACAGGCGCTTGTATGAACGCAGCTATTTTGTTTTGTTTTATCTTGTTTGTTAGTTTTTTTTCTTTTTTTTTTTAATTTTTCTGTCTATTCCCTTCTTCAAACTAGAGATCGGTTTAAATTTTCTATTGCTAGACGAATATTATATAAGGGGCCGTCGACATATTCACTTTACCCTCGCTTAACGTTAACTGGACGTTTAGGGGGGAGGGGGTAAGGCAGGGCATGTTAGTGCGGGGCATTTTTGGACAAAAGCAAACAAGTGCATTTTCATCAGTTTTTACGTCATGTGCTGTAGAACGGCGCTCGTAAAGCAGGACCAATTAAAGAAGTGAGTGGCCCCTCAGTTTTAGCTAAAACTATGGGCCCCAAAACACTACAAATCCTTGCAAAATATTTTTTCTTCCGTTTCCTAGACGTATAACCACGAGGTTTGTAGTTCCCATACGCAAATCCGTACGCAGGAGTTTTGTGTTGAATATAAAATTCAGTTCGTTTTTTAGGTACATATACAGGTATTCTTAGTTGTGTGGTAAAACTCCCTGATGAAGTGTGCGTTAGTCACACGAAACGCGTAGGAGAAAATAAAGCAGTTTTTGCAACTCAAGAAGTTCGCAGACGTGCTACTCACTGGTTTATCTTTTAAAAATAATCAAAAGCATCGACAGGAAAAAGCAGTTATGCAGATTTTGCAAGAAAACGTGTAAGAGAAACTATAATTCGAAGTAAGAAGTTTCTACCACGTTTTAAAACAGGGACACCCAACGTCAATTTTCGGAAAGTATCTGTTCGGAAGACGATTTGAGCACGACATATCAGATGTATTGATGTCAGCATTAGCGAGTTTCAAAAACCATGCCTTTGTAAATTTTCAGCTTGCGTGATGTTTCTTGATGTTTCTTGAATTGTACCATTTCATGGAGATGTAGTATAATCCATTTATCTCGAAACATAATACATATGACTTGCACGACCTTTATCCTAAAGGTGTTTTGAATACGAACGAATACAGTAAATGTGAGAGACAAAAACAGTTTTAATATGAACGAACCATAGGGTTTTAATAAATATAAGGGTCAATCATTGTGCATTGAAAAGAGAGAGTTCGCTTGCAGATTAGACTGTTCACAGTCTTCTATTTTTCCGTAAGATCATCGAGATCGCGCGCTTTGCGTTACGGGCTGCCATCTTGCATGAGTGTCAAAACTGCTTAGGGGGCGGGGGCGGTTTTCTCGCCCCTCCCCCCCCCCAAGAGCTGTCATCCCCGACGCCCGCCCCCTCGGTACATTTGAAAATCAAGATACCCGTGACGGTAAGACGCGGTATATCTAAACGATCTCACGAAAAAATAGGGGACTGTGAACAGTCTACTTGCAGATGTGATCAGAGGTAGACAAGGGCACATTGTGCGTTACGTTCAGTCTTTTTGTGAATAGTGTTTCCATACTGTTTAGCTGGCACAAAAACTTCGGAGGGGTTATAAAGCGGCATAGTTACCTGCCATGAAGAAACGTTAGTCCTGGGTGTCGTGAGACAAACAGCGACCTCAAGCGAATTTTTAACTCATATCGGTATCAGGTAAAAAAAATATATGTTATCGATCTTTTCATCTATTTACATTGTTAAAGTGCGTGCTGATTGAAGCAACATGCGAGCGAGAAATCTTTAAACTTTTTTAGGTCACAAAATGCAAAGGATGTTATTTCTTAAAGTTAGAGAAAAATACCAAGAGGGAAATCTTAAAACTGAATATTTTTTATCTTGTGGAAATAAATAGTGCGTTTTCATGTAGACTGTAGACCACAAATTAGGACCGTCTGTTTAAAGTCTCAGTGCAGTCAGTGAGGCTCCTGGATCGGGATAAATGGGCAGTTGGTTGTCTGTTTTAGTAAACTTCTGGGTTTCATACAATTTTTCTTTCTAGTGTAAATCAGTCCAGTGGCGAGTAGCTGACCCTGTCTCCTCATTTTATACTCGTAGAAAGACAATAGTTTTTGGAAAATCCGGTTACGTCAAATTAGGCACGTTATACTGTCATGCTATGCCGAGATTTGGGAGACGGAGGGATTGGGGAGGGGTGCGTGAAAATAATGCAAATCGTTTCCTGCTTAGAATTAATGACTAACTTGTTTATTTTTATTCATAATGGTGGAATTTAAAAGTTATTATACAGCCCCCACTTAAAAATGGTACTCATTTTTTTTGTTACGAAAGTCTTTCAAAAGGGTACAATGTTTTGAATGAGTTTATGTTTCAGTCTCACGTGAGATTCTGTCTCATCATGGTCGGCGACAAGGTTTTATGGTAGCCTGAGTGTGTATAGCCACCCCCTCCCCTCAGAAAAAATAGCCCCTTGGCAGCCCGGGCGATTCTTGTTAAATAACAAACCGGTCTGATTGCATAACTACTGGTGGCTTAAAAAATTAGAATTTTCTGGGCGATTGGTTTTTTGTGAAAACGAAACTGGAAAATTCGAAAAATTGCATTTTTGCATGAAACTAAGGGATCAGGAGCCCATGGTCTTGTCATGTTGGCATAAAATATTCTGTGGATAGAATACTTACAGCAAATCAAGGATAGGCGCTTCCATAACGTCCCTGGTTCTAAAGTATTCCTTCAGTGTTAACATTACATCGGTTGATCGTTTAGGAAATTTTCCTTCGGCTTTGAACACGGCTTCAAGATCGGCGGGACTTTGGATGTAAACATGAGTCTTTCCCATGACAGTCTCCTTGAATATCGGCCCGTACTGTTCAAACAGCTTTTTTTTAATACAAGCATGTTGAATGGATTTTGCGTTCATTATGTGCTGAATCACAGAACCGAACCACGGCAATCCGCGAGGACCTGGAATCTTACTAAACGCTCGAACATCTTTTGGTAGCTGGGTTTGTGAGCCATTCCATAAACTGCAGAATTCAATGAACAACCAAGCAGCTACAAAGAGAACCACAGCGATGCATGCAACAGCCAATGCGTCCTCCATTCTGTCCATTGGGTACGTGTGTTGCCGTTGAGTTGAGCGAGACGACGATCGAATAGTATCCCATAATGCATTTTCCAGACGAATCACGCGATATCGCAGTCATGGCAGATTCCATCGTGAAATAACTCGTGGGCTTTTTTCTCATTCGTCTTCCAGTAAAAGTAAGAAAATTGCATTATTTCGTTATTTTACATGATTTCTCGGATTTGCAATGGTTAAGAGCGATTTTTCCATATAGAAACATTTTTTTCATGGTTTCAATTACAGGTCTTCTACACCACAGCCAGACCACCCTCTGTTAGTGGGGGCCGTTGTTGATTGAAATCTGAGCAACGATCTTTTGTTATTTATAGAAGGAATACATATGAACAATACGGTGGCTATAATTTGTCCCAAAATGCAGAATTTAAAGCAAATTTTTCAATAAAAGTTTGAAGAAAATGTTAACTGAGTCATGTGTCATGTTTTTTTCGCCGTCCCTTGCTGTTTTAAGCGCCATTTTGCAAGATCAATATTTGACCTCGGCGGTTAGAACTATTATAGTATTCTCGTTCACCTGCTCGTTTCCGGTGTCATCTCCGGGATGGCAACGATTACAATAAACTCATGAAAAACGCAATGTAGCATAAACTCTTTTTTTTTTTTTTTTTTTTCGTCTTTTTTAAGAAAGCATTTTTCTGGCTATAGCCTGGCCAGAAAAGGAAAAAATCCATATCTTTGTGTGATGTTTGACCGATAACGCCGTAAGTCCGTAACCCAAACAAAGGTGCCACGCAGCATGCTAGCTGCAAAACGTAAAAGAGCCTGCTCAGAATTTGAAAGAAAAAAAAACATCAGAAACTTTATTTATTCAGAAGAACAGATCAGTATTCTGGCCAGGAAATTTCCTTGAAGATTGGTTGAGTCAATACCGGGTAGATTGTGCTACAGAGGATTGTTTGTCCATCGATAGGTTAAATTTTATTTGTAAACTGCCGTTGTAAACTGAGGTCGATGCTGTAATAATAGCCTGCGAAAACATCCGTTTCTCCTCGCTCTTCGTAGGTGTCCCCAGCGGCGAAGAGCGAGGAGAAACGGATGTTTGTTTTTTAAATTCTTCTTATTTGTTTTAATGACATTGATTGCATCGATTGTTACCTTTTCCAAAAAAAAAAAAATTGGAAAAAAAAATGTTACCCTTGACCCTCGACATGGTACCGTCGCCCTCGACATGGAACCCTCGACTTCGACCCTCGACCCTCGACAAAAAATAGACTCGTCAAAAACAGAGTACGTACATAAGACCACAGCTGGAAACGTATTGCATTTTATTTGAGCTCGTGTTGCGTAATTAATGACTTCACAATGCTTGACTCACGTGCAGTGTCCCGCGAAGAAATTCCAGCTGTGTTATTCAATTACAAAACAAAACACACTGTTAGTGAAATGTTCTTCCGGCTGAAATACTCATTTATTAACTCTGAATTACTGGTTGTCTTTACACTAGGCTGTTAAGTAAGTTTTACTTAACCAAGAATTCGTGGGTGAAGGCCTAAGTAAAATCTCAATTAACTTTGCTTTGCATCTCATTAAAGTCGGAAAGTTGAAACGATTCAAGAAAGTTTCAAGCGACTTGAAAACCATCCTTATAACCGACTTAGCTGACTTGCGGTTTTGCAGTTTCTTGGGCTTTGAGAAAGGCGAGACGTGTCAATCAATTTTACAGTCAACAGAGGTCAAGCGTACCCCCAAGATGCCATTAATGAATTTATTATTCAAAAGTTGAATCCGTTGGTAGTTGTAGATTTCAGATTCATCTCTGCATTGTTGCATGCGTAATGAGCCGTGAATTCGCACGCGAGGCAGTTACGAAATTTCTGCCAGCTCAGTTTCCCTGAATTTGATGTAAATATCTTCTAATAAATATAATCTATTCAAAGATTTCAATCTCACCTAATACAGAGAAGTTCTCGTTAGATATTCACTGCTCATAACGCGTAGTTAAAGCTTTTGTGTTACCGCCAAAAAGCCGGCGCTTTTCGCTACTAGTGGGCTATAACCATAGCATATAGCCTAGTGGTAGCTCAACCAATCAGAACGCAGCATTGATAATAGACCACTAGTTGGATTTTCATATGCATAGCTCAGCTCCAGACGACGATCGCATAGCATCCCATGATGCACCTCGTTTCATGTTATGCATTTTAACCCCGCTGTTTCGAAGTCCCAAGGGAAATGGAAAAAGTTCGAAATAGCGGGGTTTCGAAATAACCGTGGAAGCGTAAAATTCGTAACAATGAATCATTTTTTAATAAAATACGGTACAGTATGAAGAAAGACACTGATTAAATAAAAATACAATGGTAGTCTTTACAATAGAGCCTAAATAAGCTAAGAAATATTTCAAGACAAGTAAATTTAAAATAAAGCTTCACACACAACCGATTCTTTTTTACTTCGATATTCAGGTTATTTTCCCACGCAACCGTGAAATTACAGCATTGAAAGCAGGTCAAGCGTACCCCGTACCGCCACCGAAATGATCCCCACCATCGAAATGATCCCCGCCACCGAAATGACCCCCAATCACCACCGAAATGATCCCCACCAC